GCAGCAGCCAGTTCTAATACTGATGGTACCGGTCACAATCTGGTAAAATGTCCGTCTTGCCTTTCCTCTGAGTGTAGTCAGCCGGCCAGACCTTCTGATTACATCCAGGTGCCTCATTCTCTCCAGGCCATAATAATCTTCTTTGTCTCCTGATTCCGTTGCTTGTTCCCAAAGGGCCTCGACCACATCTGCCTTGTCATGTATCAATTCACCACCCAGTGGTGCAGATCCAGACAATATGTCTGTTCATTACCCACCACGCTGGCAGAGTCTGGTGAAAAGATCCAAAGTATGCTCACTACCCGTGACCTTTCCAGTGAAGCTTGCCAGTCTGTTAGAAGCATCCCTGTCTTCACCTTTTTCAGCATGCTTTCAGAGTCTCTTACAATGACATGTGTATGCATCTTGTTCTGTAGCCACCGGAGAGCGGCAGTTACCGCCTCCACCCCCATTCTCATGCTAGATGTTGTATTGTCAAATGCTAGGCTGTCTTGCACTAAAGATTTTTCATTGGCTACGAATCCCCAGGCACTTCTCTTTCCTCTCAACACCGAACCATCTGTATAGATAATAAGATCACCTGAGCGTGAATTGTCGTGGTTGTACTTAAACTGCAGTAGCACCCGCTGGCCACTCTCTGCACACCCGGCTCAATGTGATCATAACCCTACACAGGTCAGACTTTTCTGCTGGTACTCTGACCCACTCCTCTCCTCGCCCAATGTTCTCCAGCATGCATACTTGTCTAATTGTGTCTTCTGCTTGAGCCATCCACGATTTTCCTCCTTTCAACCTCTGACCCTTGCCTGCAGCCAAAGCTTCATACAGAGTGTTCCCTGTCTGCAGCTACTCTGAGTTATGACTTAGCCTGCAGCACCTTTAGCCTATCTGCAGTAGTCAGCAATGCAAGGATATATCGCATGCACACACCTGGGGTGTCTTTTGTACAATCCAGGATCAGCCGCATAGCTTCATTCTGTATGCGCTCCAGTTTCTCTAGCTGACCCTTAGAGACAGTGAGTAACCCCATAATCAACCACTGAGATAATTAAGTGCTGGTAAAGTGTGAACAGCATTCTCTGCTCCATGTTCATCGCTGCCACAATCCTTAGTGCATTTAGACCTTTTTGAGCCCTGTCACATCTCCCTCTATGTGATTCATGAAAGACAAACTTCTGTCAAAGGTGATTCCCAGGTTTCACAGTCTGCTGTCTCTTTTGATGTCCCTGCAATTTTTTTTTGAGTCTGCGAACATCAGCTCTAACAACCCTGTTGTGCAAAGAACACCACAGGACGGTTGCCTTTTCTGGGTTGATTACAGCACTCATCTCTGTGCACTAGTCGATCACCTTATCTACTGTTGCCTGTTATATGCTTGATTACCAGAACAACATGGTGAGGACTATAAGACAGGAGACAGAATGATGTTTGATATTATGTAAAATACATTTATTTGCTATTCTTCACATAATACTAGCAGTAGTTATTATTCCACACTTGAACAAGGCTTGGGACCCAACCCTCACTACTCAATAAAACATATTTCGGTGCGTTTCATTTGTTGCCGAAGAAGACGTATAACACACTGCTGAAGTTATGCTTGTAATGGCGTTGGTGGTACGTTAATTTGTCATATGTATAGAAATTTATATATATAGCTCATGTTGTCTTTTATCACAGAGGGCGGTATCTAGAATGTACTTATATGACGCGCCTGTGTATTCAGAAAGGGGACGGATGCTTTCTTTTCTAAGCTTGGTACGACCTAAAGGGGTTGAGTTTAACAACAATAAATACTTAGATCTGAAAAGTGGAACAAAAGAGAGATTAGGAGATGAAAATAGCTAAACTAGCGATTCAAATGCAAATGGTTTTCATAGAAACTGTCTGTGATCAGGCCTGTATTAAATCTGTGTACAACATATGCAGCTGCACAGAGCTGTTCAATTCAGAAAGGAGGAAGGGGGAGAGGGGGGGGGGGTAAGAGACAAATTCTAAGAGCAGCAAATATTACTAGCCGTCGAATAAACAAATGCCAATGTCTTTTTTGCTTTCATCATTGTACAAATTGTTCTTGTACTGAGCATCATTGCTCGATTAGTACCCCTCCCACATTGCAGATTTATTTTACATGTTGTGTAATCAGTTGTTAAGTTTAAATACTTCAATACAGTTTAAAACTGAAGACAATATTTCTACAACTTATTGTGAGTGCTTTTTTAATATCTTACCCCAAACAGGGAAAATCCACATATCGCGGGACAGTCTAATATTTCAGGGGGTGGTAGATAGGCAGCATGCAGTCATGGATGTATTTCTCAAAAGTTCTTGTTAATAGGCTGCATTTTAATTGGTGTGGCTGTTACTGGTGTGGTGGTTACTGGTGTGGTCGTTACTGGTGTGGCGGTTACTGGTGTGGAGGTTACTGGTGTGGTGGTTACTGGTGTGGCGGTTACTGGTGTGGTTGTTACTGGTGTGGCGGTTACTGGTGTGGTTGTTACTGGTGTGGTGGTTACTGGTGTGGCTGTTACTGGTGTGGCTGTTACTGGTGTGGCTGTTACTGGTGTGGCTGTTACTGGTGTGGCGGTTACTGGTGTGGTGGTTACTGGTGTGGTCGTTACTGGTGTGGCTGTTACTGGTGTGGTGGTTACTGGTGTGGCGGTTACTGGTGTGGCTATTACTGGTGTGGTGGTTACTGGTGTGGTCGTTACTGGTGTGGCTGTTACTGGTGTGGTGGTTACTGGTGTGGCGGTTACTGGTGTGGCTATTACTGGTGTGGTGGTTACTGGTGTGGCTGTTACTGGTGTGGTGGTTACTGGTGTGGTCGTTACTGGTGTGGCTGTTACTGGTGTGGTCGTTACTGGTGTGGTCGTTACTGGTGTGGCTGTTACTGGTGTGGTGGTTACTGGTGTGGTCGTTACTGGTGTGGCTGTTACTGATGTGGCTGTTACTGATGTGGCTGTTACTGGTGTGGTGGTTACTGGTGTGGAGGTTACTGGTGTGGTCGTTACTGGTGTGGCTGTTACTGGTGTGGCTGTTACTGGTGTGGCTGTTACTGGTGTGGCTGTTACTGGTGTGGCCGTTACTGGTGTGGCTGTTACTGATGTGGCTGTTACTGGTGTGGTCGTTACTGGTGTGGCTGTTACTGGTGTGGACGTTACTGGTGTGGCTGTTACTGGTGTGGCTGTTACTGATGTGGCTGTTACTGATGTGGCTGTTACTGATGTGGCTGTTACTGGTGTGGTCGTTACTGATGTGGCTGTTACTGGTGTGGCCGTTACTGGTGTGGCTGTTACTGGTGTGGCTGTTACTGATGTGGCTGTGACTGATGTGGCTGTTACTGGTGTGGTCGTTACTGGTGTGGCTGTTACTGGTGTGGTCGTTACTGGTGTGGCTGTTACTGGTGTGGCTGTTACTGGTGTGGCTGTTACTGGTGTGGCTGTTACTGGTGTGGCTGTTACTGGTGTGGCTGTTACTGGTGTGGCTGTTACTGGTGTGGCTGTTACTGGTGTGGCTGTTACTGGTGTGGCTGTTACTGGTGTGGCTGTTACTGGTGTGGCTGTTACTGGTGTGGCTGTTACTGGTGTGGTGGTTACTGGTGTGGAGGTTACTGGTGTGGCCGTTACTGGTGTGGCCGTTACTGGTGTGGCTGTTACTGGTGTGGTGGTTACTGGTGTGGCGGTTACTGATGTGGCTTTTACTGGTGTGGCTGTTACTGGTGTGGTGGTTACTGGTGTGGCGTTTACTGATGTGGCTGTTACTGGTGTAGCCGTTACTGGTGTGGCCGTTACTGGTGTAGCCGTTACTGGTGTGGCGGTTACTGGTGTGGCTGTTACTGGTGTACTAATGATTGTAACTTCCTTGGAAGTTGAACTTCCTATCTGGCTTTGTCCTGATGATCTGCCATCCAGACTGAGATCTTCTGATCTCAGGATGTCAAACATATGGGGGTAAACTGCAGGCACGCACGTAGCTGCATAGATAATGTACTGAGCTGGTCTTGCAAAACTACTAGTCTAGCAATAATAAATTAGCCTTGTGCAGGAAAGTCAGGTCTGTTTCTGATTTCTGATGAAATCCGACTGTGTCAAAGCAAAGGCACGCATGTTGTATTATCACAATCTACGTCAACGTACACTGGGTATTCCTGTGTCTGCTCTGTCCTCTGATGCGGCAGCCACCCTCGGATACATTTTCTGATTGATCCACTTGAGAAGTTGATTCTAATGTCTTGTAGCTTGATCTTGAAAACAGCGCTAGCATGCTTCATCCTGAAGTAATGTAATCGTATTAGCGTCAGAGATTTATGATTATCTGCGGTGAGCAGATAGTTACTTTTTTCCTAAACGATGTGTCGCTTTGAATCAGAACTGGTGTAAATGGTTTTGGGTAAAATGGCACAGGTACCGCAGCGCTGCCATAGGTGACAAAAATGTTCCTGCATAAATGGACTCAGCGTAATCTACATTTTTCGCAACCTACCCTGTCTGAATTTCGGATTACGCAGTAGCCGTCGGCGGCCCCAATATAACCCTAAAGTTGAATGTGTTATTTGGGATTTGTACCCGGGTGATTTTCATCTGAATAGTGACACTTTGCACATTGAGTCACCGGATGTTAATCGCTCAATGTGCGATCCCAGTGTGGTTCAACTTCACTCGGTATTTGTTTTCCAGTCTAATCGACTGGTTCTGTCCCATGAAGCACAAAATAGCCACAAGTTGCTGTACACAGACCGAGCTTAGTTAATTTAATCTGTTGCTTGACGTAAACAGATTTCAGCTGTAGCAATACTCCATCAAGATTTCATTTCCCGAACAAACGATAAAGGGAAAGGCGAGACGGATACACAATCAGTTACTGGTGCCACTGGAACCCTTCGTTTGCTGCTGAAATTGGGGACGGAGAGCTTATGGGAGTGGCTCGAGTGCTGTGATATCGACTCTTTATTCAACATTCAACCTGTAACAAAGGATGAACAAAGAAGACGAAGTTTATAACTATTCGTGCATCGTATACAACTCATTGAGTCTGTCTGCCCTGCACGGATGTATATGTCCATTTCCCATCAGACAATACAAGCCCTTGTCTGTCTCTCGGAGGTAAGCTGCTAGATGACCCAAACTGTTACTACTGACCACTAAAATATCACAGTTGACCAGTATATGCTGACTAAAAATATCCGCTTCCAAACTCTCACAGACTGACTGCAACTGTTCTGAATGGGCCGAAGATGGTCGTTTTTGAGGGGATGTCACCAGTCTGCTTTTAAAGATTTCCGTTTTAGCTAATGATAAAACTTCTGGTGAATCTGTGTTGATAAACACTTTGTCGATGTTGGTGAGTGAATTCGTTCTGATAAAGCTCCACACATTGGAGAGATAGTTAAGCTGGTTGCTTCGATTGTCTTCAAATGAGCGTAACAAATTCGTTTTAGTTCCAAGGTCCACACAGATAAGACGATGCTCAGGAGATGGCAAAACTGAGTACAGGAAAAGCTCCAACTTTTTAAGAAGGCGAGGCACCAGTAGAAATAACCGTTTATACAAAATGGAGTGGATCTCATCTCTACCTAATCCTTGCATCCATGACAGTTTTTGTCGATACAGTGATGAATTTTGAAATCCTGATATATAATCCAAGTTTGATTTGAAATAAACATGCTCAAAATTTTCTGGAACTATTTCCAAAAGTTCTAATTTGTAGAGGTTATTATAAAAAGAAGGATTATTGTCAAAATTTCTAATACTAATCCCGGCCATTCCTTTATTTAGAACTGGATGGAACGTTTTGTAAAGAGTCCAATTAACTAAATTTGGTTGTATAAAATCCGCGAATTTGCAGGGAAATCCGTGCATTTCTGCTTTGAAAACTCTTCCGGTCAAATTGGCAATTAAGTATGCGGCTTCTATTCCTTTAACATGATCAGCCCAGTCGCCACAACCGGACATTTTGTTTGTGTCGCAACGATATATAAAACACTTTTTACTGTCCTTGACAACATCGCTTCCAAAAGATATCGGTTGAGACTCGTACAAATGTCTGTACCGTTCTCTAAAGTTGTTGCTGTGTTTTAGCAGATGGCCAGGAACATCTCGCGGAGCAAATCCAACTTCATTGTCGTCTCTGATCAGCGGTGACCTCCTTTGGGAAATCAGTTGTCCTTTCTCAAACGTTGGGAGAAAATTGAGAAATATATAACCGCTAAATGAAATCATGGCGCAGAACGTCACCAGAACCAAATATCTCAGCAGACGGGACAAACGCACTATACACGGGCGACTGTGGGACATTGATGATGAAGGTAGGTAGTGTGTGTATTGTCTCCTGTAAAAAAAAAAAAAAACATTATAAACATATTTATGATGATGATGCCTAAGCATTTATATGGAAATAGTATGAATAAACAAGGAGCAGCTGGCTGAACGGTTAGAACACTGGGCTCTCAAGCGGGAGACTCGGGTTCGAATCCTTGCTAAGGCTGAAAACTTCTTTCTTGTCAGGGGCACACAAAAAATCCTTACCTGCACAGTCGTGGTGGCAGCACTAGCCATGCTGCCGTAAATCCTCAGGCTCAAAGACCCCTCCCCCCCCCTTTTTACACCGCGAAAGTGGTATAATAAAGACAGTAATTGGCAGTTTGGCAGACAAACAGTATACAGTATATGGACAGTCTAGATATATATATTACCACCACATAACTAACTATAGAACCCATCAGTGAAGCAATCAATCTAGCCGTGGAGTGCCGCCGCAAAGACAACATTGGGAGGATGCCTCCGTGGTGTGAGAATTCTTTAAATTAGTTAGTCAGTCTTTCCTCTCGAGCCCAGAGATCTCTATGTCTGACCGTTCGTTGCCACCTGCTTTAGGTCTTGGCTGTTTGTTAGGCCATGCTGTATTTTGTAGCATCTCGTATGTTGTACCTTGTATGTTGTATCGTGTGCATTTTCTTGCATATTGCTGAAGGCTTTTTAGCTGCAACGTTCATTTTATCATTTGAATCGTATTCTTGCGAAGCTGACTAGTTGAACCTTCAGTTTTGGTAGATCTAACCACCCCAAGCATAGGGCTGGCAGGCAAACGTGCTTGAGACTGGTGTCTCTGCTCCTTGTAGCACGAGAATGCTAAATTAATCATTGTATTATATGTTGTCCAGTTTACTAGGAGCGTATAACGGTTGTAACAGATTCATAAATTAGAATGAATCAGGGGACATCAATGCAATTCATTGTAACATCTAAAGCAAAACAAAGATGTATCTTATCGCCACCGCTGTTTATCACCTACGTCGACAGCCAAGCCCAAGAACGAAACATTTCTGTTGTGAAACCGTCACAGTAAGGGACGCAATTTTGTTGTTATTTAAAGCCCCACTCCAGCGGTTGTCTGACACCTAAAATAACCTAACGGTTGAATGGGGTTTCTGTGACTTGCTCCCGGGTCATTTTCATCCGAATGGTGGTACTTTGTGTCGCCTGGTGTTTATCGCTCGTTGTGTGATCTTTTTGGGGTTGATCGTCACTCTGGGAAGGAAAATATTTTTAACATCAACATATCACTCTTTGCCGATGGCAAGGATTTATATCAGATATAAGATATGAAATTACAACAGCATCTCACATCCATGAATGCAAAATGTGAAACAAATAATATGAGAATCAACACTGAAAAGACAGAAGTAAAGTCAGTAGAAAGAAAAAAGCAGAAACTAAAAACAGCAGTAGTGCTAAGACAGTCAAATTCGAGACCTGGTGTCATGACAAAGGTCACACGCCCTCCACTCCCCACCCCCGTCCCGAGGTTGTATAGGGAGACATTGGATTGAAACAATCGTCAACGAGGGACATTTATACTGATCGGTAGACTCATGCTGTGTATTCTCCTTTGTGGAGTTATTATTATTATAAAAAGACTTATTATTTTGAAGTAAAAGCACTTGGTGCCGTGAGTGGGTACCGGATGCAGTCCCGGAAAGTAGAGGCGACCGGCGTGATGCTGACCACATCACCTATCTTGTGCCGATTGGTCTATAAAATATAGGTCTAGCCCTATATGCCCTATACGCTTAAAAGCGTGAGAAAGGGTCCTTTACTTTACTTATAAGCACTAGGACAAAGAATGTGAAGAAGTAATACATGCCTTTGAGCGACACACGTAAATTCGATTATGCGCTTTAAAAAAACATATAATCGAAGCCAGTGTTTTCCAAACTTGTCTTAGTCATCACCATCATGTTCCCCGCTAACTGGCGTAGGCGCCTATGTGTCTCCACCGATCCTGGTTGACTGGAACAGCTCTCTCGATGATATCCCTCCATGCCATCATTTTAGCCCATCCAGCATCGTCTCTCTTGGTCGGCCTCTACCCCTTTTTCCACTGATCTTTCCAGTTGTCACGATGTTTTTCAATGTCTCTCCTCTCATTATGTGGAGGAAGAACAGTGTTTGTCTTTCTTATTGTTGTGTATAGAGATCAACTTTAATTAGACTCTTTCAAGCAATCGTTGTTAGTTACTCTGGCCGTCCAAGGTATTCGTAACATTCGTCTCAGAAAACCACATCTTTTCTTAGTCGCGGCCCATTTTGTTTTAATTAAAATTTATTTACGGCGCCCTAACTTGAGTAAAAGTATGACTGTTCGTATGTAAAAAAAAAAAAAAAACTCATGTTTCTTCGAATATTTCGCGGCTCAACTGTAAAGAGGTCGCGGCTTCCCAGGGTGTCGTAGCACACAGTTTGGGAATCACTGATCCAAACAATAAAAACACAGTATAGCCACAAATCTTTCTAGCGGAAGAAAAAAAAAAAGGGGGGGGGGGTAGGGAGAACAACCTTAAGAAAAACATTTCTCAGAAGATTTTATACATTCTACTTGAAGATTGCACCGCCACAAATTATTTGCTGTTATTCCCACAGGTAATGTATGCCGGTGCACACTGGGAGTCCCAACGAATATATCAATTAAGTTGTCTCCATACAGAGAAACTAGTCAGGCGACAGAAGTAACTCGCGCAAACACAACAGGCAGTCTGTTTGGATTCTCTCTATTTTTATTATTATATTCTTTAAAACATGTCTCCTTGACGACTGGCAGGACGTGACGAGCAGTGGCGTAGAAACAGTGAATACATTGGGGGCTGAACGCTCCTCCTCTCCCTCTGTCTTTTTTAATTTAAAGGCAAACAAGTGGGCCTTATGGGGGTCTAATTCTAGTTTAATAGCATAATAATGAAACAATAAGATTATTAATGCTATGAACGGTAGATAAGTGCAGCGCTCGAAAAAATAAATAAATAATGACACAGGTCTTAATAAATGGTCACCATAAACCCGCGTTCAAGAACGACCAAACGAACAAACTTTATTTTCAAAGGTTACAAATTGGGAACACTTGGCCGTCTTACATTTGGCCCTTACAAACACTTATCTTTCAGACGCAATTGCATGTAATAAAAATTGCATGTTATGATTATAAAAAAAAATATACACAATGAAACGTACACGTACACATACGCTCGTATAAGCCCATAGGTACACAGACACAAGCACATCCATACGTAAACATACATACATTCACACATACATACAGATAACTGCATTTATGATCATACATACACATACAAGCACCCACATACACATACAAGCACCCACATACACATACAAGCACCCACATACGCATACAAGCACCCACATACACATACAAGCACGCACATACACATACAAGCACCCACATACACATACAAGCACCCACATACACATACAAGCACCCACATACAAGCACCCACATACACATACAAGCACCCACACACACATACAAGCACCCACATACAAGCACCCACATACACATACAAGCACGCACATACACATACAAGCACGCACAAACATATACAAGCACCCACATACACATACAAGCACCCACATACACATACAAGCACGCACATACACATACAAGCACCCACATACAAGCACCCACATACAAGCACACACATACAAGCACCCACATACAAGCACCCACATACACATACAAGCACCCACATGCAAGCACCCACATGCAAGCACCCACATACAAGCACCCACATACACATACAAGCACGCACATACACATACAAGCACCCACATACACATACAAGCACGCACATACACATACAAGCACCCACATACACATACAAGCACGCACATACACATACAAGCACGCACATACACATACAAGCACCCACAGCCAAAAGAGGAATCGGGTTATGTTCTGGTAAGTGAAGGCGATCAGTGTCATGGTGATCATATCAAATCAAATGCCGATTAGTCTATACCAGCGGTTCTCAACCTATGGGTCGCAACCGTTTTTTGGGGTCAAACGACCCTTTCACAGGGGTCGCCAAAGACCATCGAAAAACAAATTTTCACAAAAGTTATGAAATAGCAACAAAAATAATTGTATAATTGGAAGTCGCCACAACATGAGGAACTATATCAAAGGGTCGTCGCATTTGAAAGGTTGAGGGCCACTGGTCTCTGCAGACGTATACGATAGGTCTAGCCTCGTGTGTCCGATGTAATAAAGACGTACAAAATCGACCTATATTCAAATGATGAACACAGTCAATCGACGATATTTTACAAACGGTGTATTTTACTATCAACCATTTGATAAGCACTCTCCATCGTGTAATATCACAGACAGCCATGAACAAGATCTGTTGAAAAACCAACCTAACAAAATGAAGATTAATTATTGCATTTTCTCGCTCCTTCCTTATGCACGTCTCTGAGATAATTAAAGGAATATGCAAACAATAATAATACAAATAATAATAGTGATAATTATAATATACTGTCATGTATGATTATTATACTTACCGACTTGTCATTTTATAAACTACACGGATTTGCAACTAGCAAATAATAATTACTGTACGCCCGTTTTGAAAGAAAACCAGTATGTACTCTAACACCACATAGTTGAACAAATTTCGTGCCGACCATAAATTAGCACTTGCGTAAACTTGTTCATCTGTACCCAGGAGGATATCCCATATCCTGAGAACCGGTATCAGATTATTCGCGTAGTCAACACACCGTCGCGATGATCTCGTAAACGAGGCCATGTGTTATAACCATTGGCTAAAGGCATTGAACCATTTCCTAGAAGTATTTAAACTATCCGATCGTCCTTCTTCGTCAATACTGTAGGTGGGGGAGAGGGGTTGAAAGTGCATATTAGTTATAATGTATATTCACTTTTGAAGACCTGGGTTTTAGTGACTGAATATTTTTACCTCGCTGACATTTGTCTT